GAAATGAGATGTATACACTAAATAAACTTGCAAAGATATTTAATTAGAAGGATTGACAGCTTGGGATATGTTGCTTCAGAGGATGTTCTTAACATAAATATACAACAAATACAGAAAAACAAAGAAAGTAAATGTACACAGACAAAAGGCCTTTCCAGTTACAATCAACCTACTGCTTCAAAATTGCCAAAATACTTAAAGTGAATTACCGCTTATCCACACAATCATGCTATGTTTAGGCAATAGCATAGGTCTCAGATATATAAAAATATATAAAAAACATGTCTATGAAGTGTTTTGCTCAAAATACCTAACAGATCACCCATTCTAGCCATGCCTCATATCCCTCTATTTCACTTCCTGTTTCAAAAGTGCTGATTTGGGAATATAGCTTTAAAATAAAAAAGGAGGGGTCTGAGCTCATGCGGGACCCGGCAGCTACTGTCTAAACTAAATGCTGCCGTGATGAAACGCCATATCATGGATTATCAAGGATTATCTCTGAAACAGTATGGAGCTCAAAGGCTCTCTCTCTTGCCGGTTATACCACAAGGTGAGTTCCTTTTTACTTCCTGCTTCTTCACACACATGCTCTCCAGTACAGGTTAGCTCTGAGTGTTAGCGATGCTAATGTAAACACCGACCATATTACGTCCAAAACAGTCGGGCATTGTTTCTGATAGCAACGTTTCTGATAGGGCCGTGGGTCCACATTTCAGATATTACGTCATATCGGACGCAAATCTGGATCAGCTCCGTTGTTCCCCCGTTTTTAGAGATTTGGGTACGGAGGAAAAGAGAGAGGGTTTTATTTTCTGACACTGCGTGAATTCCCTGACACACCGGGGACACATGTTTATGTATAAAAGACATCACAAAGTGCATTTTGCATGATAGGTCCCCTTTAAATGACTGAATTTATTGGAAAATTGGTCTTGAATACTACTGTGTAATATATTTGAACATATATATTTAACAAGTACATTATAAGACAAGCACACGTTTCATTTGTGGGCCATATTCCATTATACTTTTTGAATTTAAAGATAACAATGAGTAAAATAATTAAAGTTCATGTCCTTGAGGAAAAATGGGTGAGTTATAAAACACCAAACTCAATGACTTTGTGGTAAGATGTGACAATTAATATATTTATGAGTCAACATGAATACTGTGTAATATATTTGAACATAATTTATCTAAGAAGTACAATACAAGACAAGCAGAAGTTTATTATACTTAAGTCATTATACTTTTTTAATTTGCTGAGTGAGGGCCGATTCAAAATGGCCCCCAGGCCGTAGTTTGGACACCCCTGCCTTAGTTCTTCCGGTTTAGCACGAGCAGCTTTGTGTACATTAATTGCACAACAACAATGAATACAGACCCCTCCACCCTCTGTGATTGGCTGCAGGATGAAATTTGACTTCTGATGTTTTCCAGGTGTGTTTTCACCACCGTTGATCCTGAAACGGGAGTGATCTCCAGGAAGGAGCCTCTGGACACACTGAAAAGGTACAATTCCACTCAAATATTATAAGAGGAAGTGTATTTTTCTAATCAAAAATGTTTATCACACTTCAGCATACATTGGGAACATTTGTGTTTCATGTATGGCTGCAATTTAGGATTATTTTCATTGTTGATTAATCATTTAATATATAAAATATCTGTAAATGGTGAATAACGTCCATCCTAGGTTCTCAAATCAAAGTTGTGTCTGTCCATATTCACATAATTTGATATAAAACAGAGAAAAGCAGCAATTATCTATATTTCAGAGGCTGGAAACAGCATTTACTGACATTTTCTTGCATATAGCAGTTAACTTATTACAAATATAGTTCTTCTGACAACTTTCTAATTAATTTCTTGGCTGATCTGTGCAGCTCTGATTTCATGCAATCCAAATTCAAAGCTTAACATTTGGCTGTTTTTCTCAGTACTGACTTGAACAACTCTTATTTAAGTATTTATGTAGCATCATTGAGTTCTGTGTCATTTTTGATGTATCTAATCTTGTATTTCTATTATTTTCCTCTCTTTAGTTAATTTAAATGTGGTTTCTTTATCATTAATGAGTTTGGTCAGTCAAACGCACCAAAGTGGACTCTTTCCCTCAAGGAAGTGTATTTCTAAAAACTAAAAGTGTTTTTCTCCCCGTCTGACTTCACACTAAAAGCCTTAAAACTCTTCCTGGTTACATTTCTTTCACAGCTATCGCCTGTGCAAACCCTCGGATCAGCACATCTACCAAAAGTCTCCTCTGTTCGGACAGCTGCTCAGGGTGAAGCAGGTGGGGATCCTGCAGGTCGGAGACGTCGTGTACAAGATCAGCCGCTGATGAAAGGAGAGGGACTAACATGATAACTATTAACACTTTCACGGTATAATCCCTGCTGATCCACACTGAAGAAAGCACTTGTTGATGATGTTGTGTGCACGCTGTATTTTCTAGAGAAGCACAAATGAGCCACAGAAATGTTCACTGGCTTTAAATGGTGCTGTGATTCACACATATGAGGAAAAGCTGTTGAAAGTACAGTAAAAAACATGTGGTGTTGTTCCATTTGACTGTAATACTGTATATGTGATATCAGTAGTTTTGTAACACTACCGGTGCTTGAATTAAAGAATACTTGAATTGTCACCTCTTGTGTTTCTTTTTGGTTGTTTTGCATCTTTGTGTCCTCCATTGGTGTCTCTTTTATTGTAAAGATGCATCTCTTTAGACATTGTAAGTTTCTTCTTTGTCTCTTTTGGTGCTTTTCCACTGCAGGGCCTCGCTCGGCTCAGTACAGTATGGCTAGGCCTCGTTAGGCCTCGTTAGCCCTGGCTCACTTTATGCTGCGTTTCCATTACAGTTTATTAGCTGGGGCGGTAACTATAGTAACGCAGTGTAGGCGGAGCCGTGACGTCATCTTCAATGAGAACCACATAACCAACATCAGCCGTTAGCTGTTAGCCCTCAGAGCTCACAGTCACAGCTCCTCATATCTGTTCAGAAACTAGACAAAAGTTTAACAAGTCCAAACCACAAACTGTCTGTGTCATGGAGAATACAGTCGCTGGTTTATGTCTGTAGGCCGTTGTTGTGAGTGTGGACGGTCGGAGCATATACTGTACAGCGTTAGCTAAGCCGATCTCCATTCAGAAAACACTCATTTTAAAAAGGCCTGCCGTCTGTCTGCAGACTTGTCAAAGCATTAATTCATGGTTTTTACTATCCGGTATCAGTATGTTGTTACTTCGGCATCATTTAGAAACGTGTATTACAATTAAATCACGGTCAAATATGTTCATTTTGTTTTAGTTGTAGCCCCCTAGCCAGCGATTCTCTCACTAGTTTAGCATACTCAGCGGTTGTTGACCTCGATTTTAGAGAGCCAGAAAACTGTGAAAAAGTACCCGCTAGCCGGAACTACCCCAAGTGGAAACGCAACCAAAAACGGGCCCTTAAACCGCGCTGTAGTGGAAATGCGCCAACATTTGTGTCTCCTGGCTTGTTTTGTGTCTCTTTTTTTGGTTTATTTACATATTTTGGTGGACATTTGCGTCTCTCTCTGTGCCTCTCTTTGATTGTTGGTGGTGATTTTTGTGTCTCTTTTAGATTATTTTTGTCTCTGGTTGATTTTGGCCTGTGTTTCGCTCTGTTAGTCCCTCTTTGTAGTCCCTCTTTGTAGTCCTCTTGTGTCTCTTTGTAGTCCTCTTGTGTCTCTTTGCCGTGTATTGTGTCTCCTAGTTGGCGTTTTTGTGTCTCTTTTTGGTTGTTTTGCATTTTTCTGAGGAGATTCTCACCTTTTGTGGCCTTTTTGCATCTTATTTAGTAATTTTGTGTCTCTTAAAGAGCAACTTGCAGGTTAGAGACACCAGTGAATAAATGTGTAGGAAAATGATGAATACACTAGATTTCCCCCAAAATATACAGAAATATACACAACAGTGACATCTGGCGTC